CAAACGGAAATTGAGTGTGTTCGCAGAACTGATGGAGGACTTCGGGTTTGACTCCCTCCGGAGTACCGGAGAAGACCGGCCGTGGTCCGAACTCATGAGTGTCTTTGTCTCTCGGCAGCTGCCTGCCAGGTCGAGGTGCGGTTTTGCCCAGGTGTCCGAAGGGGGCGCGGACGAATTTGCAGATGGCGGCGGCGAGTTCCAAAAAGTCGATGTATCCAGTTGTTGACAGGAGGAGTGGGCCACGTCACGGCCCTGAGCAAGCCAGGGACGTCAGCGATGTTCGTGTGCGTGCGCAGTAGGTGCCGAAGCCACCTTCTGCCATACCGGTCTCGGGCGTCACCGACATTGTCCCAAATTTACGGTGACCAGAGCAAACTATCATGGCGTCCCGTTATTGACGAACGACGTCCCTAGCAACCTCGTCCCTGGCTCTTGAGTGGCGAGGTCTCCTGGCGTCGTGTTCGTGCAGTCAAACTTTTGTGTTCAATTTTTCTCCGTAATCAATGAGGACCGCGACGGGTGCAAATACGAGTAAGATCTCGCAGGAGTTGTTGGCGGCTTTGTTGACAGGTGAGGGGATCCAGCCTGAACTTGATGACGACGTGGGCGCTCGGTTGTTGGTTGTGGGTGATAAGGGAAAGGATCGCGCCAACGCCCTTGTGTTAGCTCCTGAAGTTAAGCTTCGGAGGCTCGATATCCAACTGGACGGCTCGAAGGATGGATCACGACAGTTCGACCTATGCAAAGACTCGAGCAGATTTAGAGTTTTCTGGTCTCCTGAGGCGCCTGCTCCGTATACCGAGTCGCTGGTGTTCCGTGATGTGAAGAGGTTCATGAAGACTGTGAAGGACACTTCAGAGAACAGTGTAAAGGATAATTCAATGAGGGTTGTGGACGGATCGGAGGCCCCTAAGCTTTTGATGGAGCAGGGTAGATCGGAATCCGACAAAGTTTGGATGGACGTTTTCGGTGCCGTTGAGTCCAAGTTAGTCTCGTACTTTCATAATGAACTGTTGGAAACACCTGACGGTAAATTGGAGGTGTTTGCTTCGAAGAAGCTGACGGCGCGCAAGTTGCAAGTTTTGCAGCCAGTGGTTCCGGAGGGGTGGAAAGACGTGATGCGAAGGGCCACGATTGACTTGGACCGTTTTGACATCGAATCCGTCCGTGTTCGGCCTACATGTCATTCGCTCATGTGGAAAAGAGGCGCCAGCCGATGCGTTTCGGCGTCTGACCGCCGAGTGCCAGTCCAGGCCATCGGAGAATGGAGTTCAAAGCACGTATGTTTCCCTGACGGGAACGGGCCCGACGGGAACGGGCCTGACGGGAACGAGCCCGAATTTTTATGAAGATACCACCTTCCAAAACACCCCCACACACTTTAAATAACCATTCACCGATTACAACATGCTATCAACCAAGCGCCACCTAACCGCCCTGTGATGTTTCGGCTAGGTGGCAACCGACCGACCAGCTTGACAGTATCGACCAGATCGCTGCGCCGAGTAACAGAGCTTGCTTCGGACGCCGACAACTCCGAGCTTCGGACGCTCATTCACCGCCCCGTGATTCTGCCCCGTGATTCTGCCCGCCCGTGGTCACGGCAATGTATCGCCAGGAATAGGCCGTCCGGGAATGCTTGCTGGCAATTTAACAACACCGCTAACCTGATCTGGGTGGTTGCCATAAACCCAAGGATAAATGTACGACCTGATTTGGTGGCGGGGTTTAGTCTAGGTCCTGCTTTGTCTTGACAAAGTATCCGGAATTGTCGTGCCTACAGATCATGACCGAAAACGCGTGCCGCTCGCTGCTCTTCCCTATTTACTGTTCGGCTGGCGAAGCGAGTCAGGACGTCGACGAGAATCTCCTTCTGCTGCTCCTTAGAGACGGCCGAGGCCATGTGAGCCGGCATCGGCTCGACCAGCAGTCGCGGGTCGACCTGCGCCCATGCCTCCACAATGCTTGCCCAATACCAGGTCCTGAGCATGAACTCCGCTAAAGACGCCGGCGGCACTCGGAATAACTCGAGCAATTGCGTCATAACGCGACACTGTGCTCGCTGACTCCCACGCCGAGCGCCCGGCACGGTGGCCAGGTGGTACATCGTGATCCCGCCCTCGATCTTGCTTTCGTCCACGTCCATCGCCTTGCCCTCGTCCACGTCCATCGCCTTGCCCTCGTCCGCGTCCATCGCCTTGCCCTCGTCCACGTCCATCGCCTTGCCCTCGTCCGCGTCCAGCCACCGCTGAAGGTTTCCAACATTTTCGTCGGTCAAGACAAAGCCGTCACCGTCGCGAACTTTGAGCAGGTACAGGAGAAGCGGCACCGACGCGTCCTCGACCGTGCACCGTTCCTCCAGATGTCTTATCACGGTCATGCGACTAACGTTGTGGCGGCTAACTTGGTCGCAGCTAGCTTGGGCCTGGTCGGTCTCCATCTCTTTCGGTGTATCCTGGTTGAGGCTCTGAGCGAGGTCTGTTCCCCATTCGAATCCTTTCGGAGCGTTTTTTGAGAGGAACTTGTCCAGAGAGACCAGACGACAGCTCGGGTTAACGTTCTGTAGCCTTTGACGCATATCGTAACCGGTTGATGGGTTCTTGACCGATCTGGAGACGGCCGATTCGCACACCCGATAGCAGTCGAATTGGTAGATTGTCTTCCGAGGGTGAAAGTTGAGAGTGTGTTCGCAGAACCGATGGAGGATCTCAGATTCGATGCCCGAGTACTGTAGGAGGCAAGCAGTGGTCCAGACGTCTATCAGTGTCCTGGCGTACGGGGAGTGACGAACGTGGTGGAGGAGCGGTTTTGCCCAGGTGCCCAGACGTCCGAAGGGGTAGCGCACGAATTGGCAGAGGGCGGCTGCGAGTTCCAAAAAGTCGATGTGGCAAACGGTCAACTCGCAACAGAAGGGGTTCGTTTGGTGGCCCTGCGCTGGATGATTCTGCTGCTTCTCTGAGTCGTCACCAACTAGGTCGCCTTCGGCTAGGCGGCGCATCTTCTGGCGCTGTTCAGCAGTTAAGAGGCTGAAGAGCGCTTCGGTCGCCCGCAGATGGTCAAATTCGCCCGTCCACACCGTCGCATTAGGCGCGTCCGTCGGCGCTGGCTGGCGTAGCTTGTGAGCTGCATAGGCCGCCAGTGGTGCTTCAAAGGTCGAACGCGAGGATATCTGGCCGTACTCGCGCGCGAACTCAGCTGCAGAAACGGCCACCAAACGCTTCAGCCGATTCGCGGGACAGTGCTCATTCTTGCGTCTCCAGCCCTTGCCACCGGAGAGGCGTGACCGGTAAGTTTTGAAGTTCAGCGGTTCATCGCGCGAGCACTCCAACTCCACACCTGGCACGAAGCCCAACTCGTGGACGATCAAGTACCACACGTAGTTCACGAACGCATGTTTCGTAGGTTGCGGACACAACGGCTCACAGCGCTGCAGGAAGCTGGCTAGTAGCCAGACCTCCATCTTCCGTTCGGGACAGCGCGCTGTCCAAAACGCCGGCTCCAGTCGAGCCCGCACTCCCGCCAACGCGGGGCCCAAGACTTGGTCTACCGGCGACTCCAAGTAAGTCGTCAAAATCGCCGCCAGCTCCAGCCATGCCTTCCCCACGCGACCGCAAAAATCAGACTCGCACACTTCCGCAAACGAAGTCACCCATGACTCTACAGGCAATAACCGCCGCCACATATTACCACTCTTTTCGCTCGTGACTGCCGGGTCCCAACCTTTCGACACACCCACCACCGCCTCGAACCGTGCAGCTAGAGTCGCAGGACACACATTTCGACCGCCGCCCTCCACCAACGGCACCTCCGCCACTAGGGGAGGCACGACTAGGCACACATGCACGACCGGAAGTGTGTGCCGCTCACCCTTCACAAACCTCATTACCAACGAATTGATAAGTTTTCGTAATTGGACACGGCTCCGGGTACGGCGGCGGCGCGGCGGGGGCAAAGAGCGGAGCCGCCACAGAGGCATAGTCCTTCAGGAACCGGCGGTAGTAGGACCCCAAGCCGAGGAACGAGGGAGCTCCTTCGGAGACCTCGGGATGGGGAACCCGCGCAGGCGCTCGGCCTTCCGGTCGTACGCCCCCGTTGGTAACGACGTAATCGACCTTCCGCAGGTTCGCGGCATGCTCGCCGAAAGAGCGGCCAAAGACCAGGACATCGTCGATATAAACCAAACACACCAGATCTCCCAGGATGTTCTACAGCAGGCGTAGCGGGCGCCTTGCACAACCCGAACATCATGGAGACAAACTCAAACAAGACACCCATCGCCAGCATTGTGGTGACCTCATTGCAGTCTCCCGGGGACGTCCGACGAGGTCTACTGTCTGCGGCATCGGTAGGGTCCGAAAACACGCGCGCAACGCCGACAGGGCGCGATGGGGACGAGAAGGCTCCTGTCGCCCCGCAATGTCTGTCGGTGAAGTAGCCGCGAGTGGGCCAAGAGAGTGGGCCAAGAGACGGTACGACAGAGTAAGTCGGTTGTGCGCGTCGTGATGACTGGGCGTAGAAGCGGAAGAGACAGGGCCTAGTCGTGCCAGGCAAACTTTGAGTACGTGAAGGAAGTAAGCTTCAGCCCCAGCTGAAAGAGAATATTGTCCGAAGTGACACTTCGTCCAACACGACGCGGTTCCGAGTGATCGGGGTTAGTAACCGTTGAGTGAGCGCGGACTGACTGCAGGACTTGATGGCAGTCGAAATGGTAGAGTGTATGTTCGCAGAACCGATGGAGGATTCCACATTCGTTGCCTGAGTGCTGAAGGCCGTGGTCCAGACTTCCACGAGGGTCTTGGCGTGGTGAGAGTGGCCGACGTAATCGAAGAGCGGGTTTGCCCAGGCTAGGCGGTTTCGGATCCGAAGGGCCTCGAACTGCTCCACCAGAGCAGTCGGCGACGCGCGACCGCCGCCCCACCAATGGTTCTCCACCAATGGCATTTCCATTAGCAGGGGGGGGGGGGAAACGCTGGGAACGAACGCCCGACTGGAAACACAGGTTGCACGCTGCTCTTCACGAAACTCATCATTGTCACCAAACACCAAAACAATATGATCACAAAGCAACGCACATCAAACCCAAGACACGGTGGTGAGGCGGAAAAAGTGTGTGCACACACATCAGAACAGGACATCACATTCGATTGGTGGCTCAGTACGACGGTTTATAAACCGACCATCTTGACCCTTTTTCGACGGCCGGAAGACACCGGACCATTCGGTGGAATGTGGACGTTCAGTGTTTGTTGGAAAAGGCTCCGTCATCAGCAGGCGGCATCACGTGAGGAACTGGTAACCCCGCTCAGGTGCTCGTGCTCGGCTTGCGGCGCGGATCAGACCGTCGACAAGAATTTTTTTCTGACGCTGTCTGGAGACGATCGAGGCCACGTGAGCTGGCAACGGCTTAGTCAGGATACGTGGGTCGACCTGCGTCCAGGTCTCTATAATGCTCGCCCAAGACCAAGTGCCGAGCATAAACTCGGCTAGGGGCGCCGGCGGCACTTGGAAGAACTCGAGCAAGTGCGCCATCAAACCCCACTGTCGCTGTTCACTGGTCCATCGACCGCCCGGCACGGTGGTCAGGTAGTACATCGCATCCACGACTTCCGTGTCGCCGACCCGGCCCTTGTTCAGATATTGTTGGACGTCTGCAAGCTTTTCGTCCGTTAAGACAAAGCCTTCCCCGTCGCGCGCTCTCAGAAGGTACAGGAGAAGCGGCACCGCTTCTCTCTGCGGCCCACTCCCGTTCCCGGCCATATACTCCTCCTCCAGACATTTCACCGCGGCCTCACGAGCGGTTAGGTGGCCACCGGCTTGCTCGTGACCCGCTTGACCAGGACCGCCTTGGTCAGGATCGACTTGATCAGGATCGACTTGATCAGGATCGACTTGATCAGGATCGACTTGGTCAGGATCCACTTGATCAGGATCCACTTGATCAGGATCCACTTGATCAGGATCCACTTGATCAGGATCCACTTGATCAGGATCCACTTGATCAGGATCGACTTCCTGTTCCATCTCTCCGTCAGGGTCGTGGTCGGTTTCCATTTCTTGGGACAAGTTTTCATCGCGACCAAGTTGTCGTTTCGTCTCCTGTGCTCTCTTTAGGCGGTTTCGCGAGAAGAACTTGTCCAGGGGGACGAGGCGATTCGATTCGTTCACATTCAGCAGCCTTTGACGCATGTTGTAACCGCCGAGGGTCCTACGGACAAACTTAGTAACGCCGGAGTGCAGCACCTGATAGCAGTCGAATTTGTAGAGGGTCTTGAGAGGGTGAAAGTTGAGTGTATGTTCGCAGAACTGATGGAGGATTTCAGATTCGATGCCCGAGTACTGTAGGAGGCAAGCAGTGGTCCAGACGTCCATCAGCAACTTGGCGTGTTTGGAATGACCTGCGGTGTCGAGGAGCGGCTGAGCCCAGACGCCGAGGCGTCCGAAGGGGTAGCGAACAAACCGGCAGATGGCGGCGGCGAGTTCCAGAAAATCTATGTGGCAGAGAGTCAGTTGTGGACAGAAGGGGTCCGGTAGGTGACGCTCCTGGTCCAGGCCCTTTTTTCGGTGATGCGGACCGTCCGGATCATGAGTGCCCTCCAGGCGGCCTTCTATTAGGCGGCGCAGCTTCTGTCGTTGCTCGACTGAAAAGAGGTTGAAGAGCGCCTCGGCTGCCCGCCCGTGGTCGAAGACGCCCGTCCAGACCGCGGCGCCCGGCGGGTCCCCGCGTCCGGGCCGACGCAGTTTGTGTGCGACGCGGGTCGCCAGCCGCTGCTCGAAGAAGGAGCGTGAACCGTCGTCGCCGTCGACTCGTCCGAATTCCGCAGCCGACAGCAGACGGCACCGCCTCAGCCTCTGCATTGGGTTGCTTCGCGGGTTGCTGTTAGGTGCGCGTGCGCGGTAGGTTCTAAAGTCTAGTAATCCGTCGAACGCGTGTTCGAAGCCTTCGCCGGACACGAAACCCAAATTCTGCTGGATCACACTCCACACATGGCCGGAGAAAAGGTCCAGGGGTGTTTTGCGAGGATATAATGGTTCGAGACACTGCAGAAAGCTGGCTAGTAGCCAGACTTCCATCTTGCGTTGGGGATGGCGCGCAGTCCAAAACGCCGGCTGCAATCGAGCCCGCACTCCCGCCAATGCGGGTCCCAAGACCTTGTCTACCGGTGACTCCAAGTAAGTCGTCAAAATCGTCGCCAGCTCCAGCCAGGGTCTCCCAACACGACGAAAAAAATCACACTCGCTCACCGCCGCAATCACAGTCCCCCATGTCTTCGCAGGTGCCAGCTCCAGCCACACACGACGACCTACGTCCGTCGTAACTGCCGGATCCCAACCCTTCGACAAACCCATCACCGCCTCCAACTGTGCAACCAGAGTCACCGGAGATGATGCATGCAAATTGTAAGCCTCTACCAACGGCACTACAGGGGGCAAACTCAGTAACATCCGGACGATTGGAAACCCACACCGTTTGCTCTTCACGAACCTCATCGACTTCACCCTCCAGCGAACAAAAATAAATAACAACTGGGTTAGGCTGGCAGCACAACCAGTGTCCACGGGACCGCCTGTCCGGCGGTTCTGTTCGAAGGGACTGGTGTTCAAGACAGTTGGTTCTAACAAGACTTGGCGGAAAGGTCTACAGGTAAGCTCACATCCAATGGAAATTCCGGGGTGGCTGAATTTTGACACAAGTCGTGGGGGTGGTCCTCGCCGGCGATATTGAGGGAGCGCAAGAGGGTTTGTTTCCAACGCACGGGGTCGTGTGTGTGAGCGGGGAGGGGGTCGTGTCGAACGTGTGGCGGCAGCAGATCATGAAGCTCGGCTGCGCTGAGTGAGCCTAGCAAAAAGTCGACCAGAAGGTGTGGCTCGATGTGCATGAACTTGAGCACTTGGGCAGCTACAAGGATGTGTTGCCGCCGTCTCTGGTCCACGTGGCCTTTTTCCGGCTCCTCTGCTGGGTCCCAGTTCCTCAAATCGAGAGGGCCGACTTCGACGTATTTAAGGAATTCTGCGACCTGAGGAAGTGTGTGTTCGGGGATGAGTGGGGCCCCACTGAGAGTGTACGCGGATAGGAGCGCAACCAGGACAGGCACAGTCGTCTGTTGCGCTTGAGACAAGGGGACTGTCTCGTCTGCGGCCCCGCTAAGCCAGCGACTGAGTAACGTACTGGCGGACGGACCGTCAAATAGGCCGAGGGCGGGCCCGAGCCATGGCGCTGCAGGACGTAGTGTGTCCGCTATCCAGGTCTCTGCTGTTTGCGTACTGGCGCGCTCCTGCAGTGCTGCCACTAATGCGGCACGCGTCCGAGGCAACGCCTCCAGTCGCTGACTTGGCACCGCACCCCCCGCCGCCGTCGTCGCCGCGATTCGAACCACGGACCTCAACAACGCACCCATCTGCACACGCGCCGCCGCGCGACACGCCTCCTCCAACCAACACAGCTCCGAACCCGCGCCACCCGCAGCCACCGACCCACCTGCAGGCGCAAAGCCGGAAGCGACCGAGCCCGAACCGAGCGCAACGGCGGGGCCGACCACGGCTGCCAAATTAAGCATAGCCGCTCTGCTGAAGATGCCCGCGGGGTCGAACATGGCCGCCGATTCTTGCATCGTGAAGGAATCTGTATGCGCGTCCTTGCTGGTCCGGTCGTCCTTGCTGGTCCGGTCGTCCTTGCTGGTCCGGTCGTCCTTGCTGGTCCGGTCGTCCTTGCTGGTCCGGTCGTCCTTGCTGGTCCGGTCGTCCTTGCTAGTCCGGTCCTTAATGGCCCGATCCTTAATGGCTCGATCCTCAGTGGCCCGGTTCTTGGCGACACTCTTCTTGGCAGCAGGACGCCGTTTCTTCTCCGTTGTGTGTTTCCCTGAGGCGCCTTTACCACGGCGGCGTTTCGTTCGGGGGTCCTTCGGCACAGCGTTTCGAACCCCGAATCGCCCGGCAGCGACGGTACCTACTGGTGCGGTGCCGCGCCAGGGTTTGTTCAATTCACTTAAGACGTCGACCTGACCAACGACATCGACCTCGCCAACGACACTGAGCCCGTCGGAGCCGGATCCGGGTTTACGTCCACGGACGGCGGCATTTTGATCGGCTTCTACGAGTTGTTCGCAGAATTGTTGGAAGGATATGGGTTCGGTCATTTGCGATGTCTGGATGCGTTCATGGAGAGGCAGGATGAGTTGAGACGGTCGGGATGGCCGGCGCATGATGCGCAAATATTCCACGGGACAGGTTGGCTTGTAGTGAAGAGTGTCTTCGCAGAAACGTGCGAGTCGCTGCGGATCTGCGCCGGAACGCTGCAGCCGACAGGCGGTCGTCCAGATCCGGACTTGGTGGCGTCGTGGTACCTGTCGGTTGTGTGGCTCCCGTAGCTGCTGCTGCAGCGCCAAGTGTAAGGGGTTCTCGAGGTCTGCGCTCACGAGCCCGAACGGCGCCTCGAGGTACAGCATCATGGTTGCCGCGATTTCGAGAAATGCGGGCGCACACGCGCGCAGCGCGTGTGCGTCCGTCAGAGTCGCGCGCACTC